ATCCAAAACAATGGTTACTGATGATATAAATGTTCTCTTTGTGTTGTACAAGGACACATATGGAGAATTAGAAATGTGACTAATGCAACTAAGAAGTTGAATTTTTATCTTTTAAATTTTAATTAGTTTGAATATAATTATCCTCATGAGTCTCACGGCTACTGTAGTCAATGGCGTAGGCCCACGGGATGGAATCAGTGGTAAAATAAACTGTGACTGTTACATCACCCTTTACATTTCCTATTGCATGAGTCAAGTATTGCATTGTCTTTCCAGAAGATAAAAACAAAGACTGGAGATAGCTTCTTTATGGTTTTCTTTTTTCCAGGACCTCATGCATGTGAGGCAAGTGTCCTACCACTAAACTACCCGGTCTGCCTCTTTGTAGTTTTCAACTTATACTAAAGAGAGAATTTGGAATTTTTTATACCTACGTGTAATGACAAAGAGAGGAAAACTGAGGAGGCAGAGGGGTTTCTCAGGCACTAGAAGAATCAGAGGTGAACGCAAAGAGTCAGAGAGTACTCAAGATTCTGCTACTGCTGCACCTGATAATGAATGCGAAACTTTGCACTGAATCCTGATGACATCTTAGATTGAACATCTCAAACTCAAGAATCAATGAGTGGACTATATATTCATAAGAACAGAAAGAAAATACAATATTCTTATGTAGTCCATGAATCAAGAGGAAGGACTTCATCAAATGTTATTTTGTGTGCAGAAATGGGGCCTATCCTGTTTTGCTAAATAACATGGAACAGTATTCTGTCATCTGGGATATTTGGAAATCAAAACTTACATTATATGCTGTTTGCAAAATGGAAAAATGCCAAAGGCAGGTATTTATACAAAGGTAATTTAAAAGAAAAAGGTAAAGCACAAATCAACTCATTTTTGAAAGTTAAAAACTGTCTACCGAATTCAAACAGTAAATGCTGTCTTTTTTGCTGGGAAACTGAGGGTTAAGTTTGTGTATGTACTAATCAGTGTACTAGGTTCTTATTTAAAGGTGTAAAACTCAAGAAATACAGTAAAAAAATATTATTGTATTTCTACTTAAATTTATCATCTTGAAATGGTTAAAGCGTGGAGACTGGAGCTACTCAGCTCTGGGCTGGAATCCCAAATCCAATCCTTAGTGCATGACCTTCAGCAAATTAGTACCCTCCCTAAGATCCAGTTCCCTCATTTGTAAAATAAGGATTAAAAAATTACTTCCTGTTTTATAGAGAGTAAATTTTGCATGCAAAGTGCTTAGCCTAGTGCTTGGCACTTAGGAAAAGATATAAATCAGCTATGGATAGTGATTTTATTATCCTCGAGTTGCTTAGAACAGCTCTCCTTACATATCAGATTTGGGAGCCTTACATATGTGAAATGATAACCACATCTTATTTATGCCCACTGAACTTCTCATTGCTGATGCCTGCTGCTCCCCCACCAGGTACCCACATTCCAGGTAGAGTGAAGCTAAGTAGGGGAAGACACCAACCTGCTGCTTCGGGGGCTTTTAATCTTTAACTTGACTCTCTTACACCTGGAAATGGATTTTTCTGATTTCTAGATTGAGGAGGCATTACTTTAATAAATTCAAACCTGCAGAAAACACTATAGCCTTCCAGGGTTTGTTTTTTTTTTTTTTTCTGTAGACGTAAACACGTATGCATATAATTTTACAAAAAGTGCTATCATACCATAGTTGCTTTTTCATACCTGAGTGTGTATTCAAGAATATCTTTCTATTTAATTCACTAGAGATCTCCGTGGCCATTCTCACTAGGGCTCCAACCTTAAGCTACACAGTGGTGGTAAAAAGTAGTAGCCAGAGGAAAACATTAACATCCACCTTTCAATAACAGCTTTGCTCAAAACCTGAGGCAAGCTGTGAGGTCCAAATGGATTTCAAAAACAAGTGAAAATCAGAGGTGTTTTGTTTTTTTCCTTATGAAAACACTGGAGAGAATGAGGACCCGGGCCTAGTCCATGCTGTGTGGCACACCCCATTCCCTAAATGGCTATTACTTGTGGAATGTGAAACTTGTGAAATTGAACTTTTAATAAAATGAGAACTTGCTGTAACCTCAGTATATTTTCAGGGTTTTAAACTCTTATTTTATCTAGAGCACAACTCTTTTGAGTCTTGGCATCAAAAAGTTATTTCTGAGTGCTAAACAAATATGAAAAATATGGTTCTGGCATGGGTCTGACTTTCCCCTGCCAGGATGGGTCCACTCCAGAAGCCAGACATGTGTGAGTCCTTATCCTCTGGATGCCACTGTGTCTCTGGATAAGCCAGTGATCTGCAGATCTAAATAACTAGGACCCCACCCCAGGGGACACTCCAGGGACCTTTATCTGGAAGTCTGACCTCATCATTTTTGAGATTCAATTCCATCCTGCCAGAAGTCAGAACCATGGATAAAGAGATGGTCACATACCAATATTATTCCTACCCAGTTTTACATTCTTATTATGGCTTCTGCTTAAAAAGTCAGGAGTGTTTTTGCCACTCCATTCCTAGACAACAAGCAGATGGTTCTAGAGAAAAATCTCTGAAAAACTTCTGCTGGTCTAAAGAGATTATGTTCACAATTTTCAAACTTGGACAAGAGTTTACAAAACTGGCTTTACTCTGAACGTGGTCAAAAAGAATGAGATACCACCTGATTGTTTTTGTGGATCACTGGGAACTTGAGCGGCGGAAGAGGAGTGAGCACACCAAACATCAAATCCAAACACTGGCGACGCTGGCAGAGGGGCAGGCAGGACAGAAGTCCAGCTTTAGCCAGGCCAGCAGGCCTCCTGAAGAGATGGTCCAAGCTGGCCACCAAGAACAAAGTTCCAAAAGGCAAGTTCATATCAAATGGGCCTGAGTTTCTGACCAGGAAAAACCCTGCTTGACAAGCCTGGAGCCCAAGTAATATCTTGACAAGCCAATGAAGCAAACAGCTAATCCCCCTCCCTTGACACTGGTCAGGACAGTGAGTAGAGAAGGCGAGCCTRACCTCCAGGGAGACAAAGGCAGTTAGTGGTGAGGAAACCCAGCAGGCCATCTGCACCCCCGCCCATCTTCCCTTCCTGGGCTGGTTATTGCCTAAAGAAAATAGTCTTCACTATAAGGACACTTAACAATGGTGAGTCACCATTATATTGATAAATAAAACTGTAGGTAATAAGCCATGTCACTCTTTCTGAGTTAATAATAGTGAAGACAACACAGAAAATATCCAGGGAAGTGGTTTTCTCTCTATTTGTGGCCTTTAGGCCAGCAATTCTCAAATGCGGCCCCTTGACCCACAGCATCAGCCTCATCTGGGAGTCTGTCAGAAATGCCAGTTCTCAGGTCCTGCCCCAGACTGACTCAATCAGAACTCTGGGGGTGGTGCCCAATAATCTGAATTTTAATAAGCCTCCAGGTGATTCTGATACAAGTCAAGTTTGAGAATACTAGCCTAGTGCAAAAAACCTGGAACAGGAGCCAGGAAAACGAATTCAGATTCCAGCTCTGGATTCCACTGTCCAGTTCAATGAGGTTCAAGGAAGAACCATAACATGCCTCTCTGTGTCTTGAGGCTCAAGCCAGGATGTGAGGATGCACACTAGACTTAGACCTTACAGTCCTCTACGTGCTTTTGCTCCTGTAGGAGAGGAGCTATTTTTATTGTTGTTGCTTCTTATTTTCATTTCTAGGGTCTCTGGCATCATAAGCACTCAATAAGCATGCAGTAGGTCAAATGGTAGGGCTGTTCATGAATTTGATAAATACAACTGTCCAATTGATCAATAAAGTTAACAACACCCCAGTCACATAAGCACTAGTTACTTCTGATTTATTATTTATTATATGTCAGTGCTGAATACTCCCCATACATCAGCTCATCTGATCCTTTCTGATATCCTTCGCTGGCTAGTATACTTAGCCCTACTCTGCACTTGAGAATCTGAGGCTCAAAATGTTGAGAATTTCACCCACTATAATACAGCTAGAAAGTGGCAGAGCCCATGCTGCATTCAGAAATATCTGCTCCCAAAACCCATGTTTATAAGTAAAGTGGCTTAAAAGGCCACTGAGATTGGTGGCTCATCATTTTCTCATCACGAACTTATAACTGCACTTTGTAGGCATCTCCTTCAGTGTTCAACGACTAGGAAAACCAAGGACTGGTAAACTAGGTGTCACAGGCCAGACACAAAATTCTTAACGTAAGACTGACTGATAAAGGGTTGCCAACGTTTTGTCAAGGGCATTCCCCTGGCCCAAGGACTGATCAACTATTGTCAACATTCCCAACAAGGAAAATAAAAATGATGTCAAAAAAATACAAAGGACAGAAGTTCAGAAGAAAAGAGAGTACATTGCATTACATAGATTTTCTCATCCACAATGATTACTTTGTTGTTCTCGTCTTTCAGTAGAATGACATTTGGTTTTCATTGAGCTCAAGAAAATAGAGTGTGGTGGAAAAACTACACTAAAGGACTGTTCTGCACCTTAAAAGTCAAACAGAACTGCTTATAGGAAGAAAAAAAATGGGCATGCAGGCCAGGCCAGGGCAGCCGTGGGAGGGCACTGGCTGGGCCTTGTACAGAGTATCCTATCCCAGGCAGGCCAGGGAGAAGGGGACAGAAGTGAGTCTGGCACCAGGCCCAAAGGCGTGGGAGGCAGGGCTGTGAACAACTTCATGGGCCAGCCAGGGCAAATGAGGTGACGGCCAATAGGAGAAGCTGGTTAAGGTCTAAAGCGAGTTGGTGGCTCCAGTGTTTGGGCAGATCCAGCTCTCCAAGTAAGGGAGTAATGGCTCCCCCTCCGTGTCACATGACTCTCTTCATGCTYGTCCCTTTCCTCTGCATTAGAGGTTGAAGATTTATTTGTCATTCATCATCCACTATTTTCTTGTGAATGCTCTGGGACTAGAGGGCATTTGGTTGGGGTGAATGGGGGTCCAGGAGCTACTAAAATCAGAAGCTCCAAGTACTGACAAAGGAAAGGACCTTACCTTACTAGGAGGTGGTCCATGGTCATCCAAGTAAGTGGAATTTCCTAGAAAATAAAGAAGAAAAATGTTGACAGGTCATTTTTTTTTTTGAAAACTCCAAAAGATTAATGCAAAGTCAGTGAAAATGAGCATTTTATATATATTTCTATTCAGACAACAGTGCCAAAGACAAATGGGTAATTCATCCATCAGTTTGGCTAGACTTTGCTTATGTTATTGGCATGGCTCCTGGCTGTGAAGACGTGTAGCCAGCCTTCTGGTCACTGCTGAGAAGCAGCCACACTTCTGGGCTGCAGAGGCCCGCAGCCCGTGCAGACCCCACCTTCCAGCGGAAGCAGTGAGTTGAGCTTCATCTCAAAACTCCAGTTTCATTATGATGCTTGGTTAACAGTTTTGGCAGTAACAAATATTCTATCCACATGGGCGTGCATTCACACAAACTCACACCTGAAGAGACATGCACCACCATTGTTTCACACCCAATACTTGTTGAGATTCCCTTGGAYCACTGGTTTTCAACCTTTAGTGTGCATCAGAATTACCTGCAGGGATTGATAAGACACAGATGTCTTGGCCCTGTCCCCAAAATTATGATTCGGTAGTTTTGATAACTTGCATTTCTAACCATCAGTCAAGTGATGTAGGTGTCACTGATCCCGGAAACATACTTTGAGAACACCTCCACTGTTTCACCAGTCGCCTTGATGCTGTCAATTTCTCTTTATCTTTTCAGTCCAGTTTGACCGGTCTTCACTAATAGCCACCTACTAGCATGTGTGTTTTCAGACAGTGTGGCTGTTGTCTCCTGATGAATAAATAGAAGACTCAGGAGGGCTTGGAAGGGAATCAAGATTTATTGAGTTTATTTTTTAAAGTATTAGGTACTCTGTTAAGTGCTTTCCAGATATTCCTTCATTTAATTCAAATATCAGAGATGGGTTAGAATTCTCGAAAACAGGGGTCTGGAGAAAATCAGTAAGTTACTCTAGTTACAAGAGTAATTAACCTGCAGGGAGGAGAAGACTGGTTTTTCCGGAGGTGTTTGGGCATCTGCCCATCTGAAAAGCAGACCGAAAGGTTTGACATCTCAGGCTTCCATGCAGCCCAGGAACTGCAGATGCTACCATCTGGTGACACTGGATCACATGGGGAAGCCAATGATGCAATCAGTCTAATAGGAGACTCCTGTGAGTCCAGGAAAATAATCTTCACTAGAACCTACTTCTGAAACACAGTGTAGGAGCTATTGGAAAAACAAGAATACTTAGAGAAGAAGAGACTTGGAGGTATGATAAATGCCCTAGTTTGAATAGATGAAAGGTGCTTTTGAAAATAAAGATTAAAAGTGACTTAGAAAACTGGAAGAAAAAAAAAAAGAGAGGGGGAAGCAAAGCTTAAGCCAGGGACAGTAAAACTGGGGAAATGTATCCAAACATAATAAATAAGAGGGGTTTGGCTTATACATTTTTCCACACTGAGTCAACATGCAGCCCTTCTTTGTAGTCTTCTGATTTGTAACACACTTATTTCCACAGGGACAGTACTCTAACTAGCTAGTCGCATATCGTAAAAGGATAACAGGGTCCAATTTTTATGTGCAAGTTGCAAACCCAGCCATACTCATGATTAGGCTTGTTTCAGGAACCTTTTAAATGTGAATGTGATTAACCATTTGTTAGCTCTTAATTACTGCACTGAACTCCATGGGGAACACACGTAAGTAGAAAGATCTATATCAGACCTAATAAAAAAGATGTGCATAAAAATGGTTGCTGACATCTAGAGAACTATTTAGGAATATTTCACAATAGTATAGCYGGTATGACTGCAGAGAGTTCCCATCTGCTCTTCATGAGGATGTGCCTTCCCCAGAGAAAAGTGAGAAATCCCAACATGCTCCAGCATGTTCTTCAGGTATCATTTCAAGGATCAAAGAGAGCTCCAACAACAAAACACTCTTAAAATGCTAGAGGCTTCCACAGAACCAACATTTCTAAACGCCCCTTAAAGGGATTCATTCAACGGATTGATCACTAACCCAAACTCCAGATGAGGCACCCCAACACCTTAGCACCTCAGATTAGATGTCTAAAGACATCTCACATTTCATACATCCAAAACAGAAAACTTCATATGCTCCAATTACATTCCCCAAATCCCTGTCTTCCTTATTGGCTTGTCAATTTGTCCTTTCCCCCACCTCATACTTACCCCCCAGTCAGAAGTCCTGCTGACTTGGCTTTCAAGTTATAACTCAAATTTGAACACTTCTCATCAGCTGCTCCCAAGCCATCCAATAGAGTCCCTTGTAGTGAGCCGTTTCTGTGTACTGTGGCCGCAATTACAAGATGGCGCTGATAAGCGCCGTGGCCTGTGATAAACAACTCCTTATTTTGGGAGAGTTGGCACGTAGCTGTAAAACACCCTATGAGAAAGATCCACGTGGCAGTTGTGCATTGGGGCTTTATCTGCTTTATTAGGGCTGGGGCACGTAGCAGGAGTAGTAGTAGTAGTAGGAGTAGCAGTAGAAGTAGCAGTAGGAGTAGTAGTAGAAGCTAGTAGACATGTCAAAATAAAGGCCTGAATAAACTGCTGAAGGAAGAATCCTGTGTCGTGTTTCCTTTGCTGGCGAGGGGACGCGGCAGTCCCTGTATCTCTTTATTTATCCCTACTTTCTTCCTCTACTTGAATAGCAATAAGACTTGGGTTTTTAAAAAATATTTTTTAGTTGTAGATGAACACAAAATCTTTATTTATTTATCTTTATGTGGTGCTGAGGATCGAACCCAGGGCCTCACATGTGCTAGGTGAGCACTCTCCCACTGAGCCACAACCCCAGCCCGCAACAAGAGTTTTTAAACCTTGTAACTTAGAACATGTTAGTGATATGGCTTGAAAAAAATGTGTTTCTAAGACCCTCACCATGGTCTGTGATGCCATACATGACCCAGGCCCTGCGTCCTATCACCATTAGCCTCAACTGCCTTTTCTCTGCTCCAGAATGCACCAAGCTGCGCTCAGCTAGGGGCCTTTTGAACTGTCTCTAGAAAAGCTCTTCCCCACCCCTTCCATTCAGGCTCAGTTCAGATGTTCTCTCTGAATAGCCCCGTTCTATAATAGTACATTTATTTACTTAGTCCCTTATTGTCTGTCTCTTCCAACTAGAGTACAAGCTCCCTCAGGGCAGGGWCTTGCCTACTGTGCTCAATGCTACAACTCCTAGAACAGAGCCCCTCAAGAACATGGTATGTAGTCARTATTGGCTTAAAAAATGAAATACTACTTAATTCACTTTCCATTCTTGACATCTTGGCCATAGACTGTAATAAATGAATTATCACCTGTACCTTAGCCTTAGTTATTCATTAGTCATATGGTTTGCAATGTTTTCAACAAGTGAACAGAAAATACCAAGCATGGGGTCTGGGCGGGAAGCACCATCTTGGAGAGGAAGATGTACACAAGTCTGCCTCATAATTCACCCCCTTATAACTCAATGCTATGACAACGACTGCATGACACTAAGTTATTTTCTTATTCTCTATTTTTTTTTTTTGGATAACTGAAGATAATGATGGCACCCAGCTTATAGATATGGTGTGGGATTAAATAAAATTATGCACAAGTAGCACTAAACCCAGGACCAAAGACAAAGTAAGCCCTAGACAGAAGTTAGCATTGTGATTGTGAATGTCCAATCTCCATGGAGTCACAATGTCCAGTTTGTAAAGCCTCAACACAGTGTGAACGTGAACCTCCCATCTTATTCCTTTCATTAATAAGCAAAACTGACCCCACTGGTGTAGGCCTAGGTCCTACGGCACACCTTTGGACTCAATATACTGTTAAATCCTTTGTCAGTTTTACATGTGGGAAATATTGTAACTAAGAAAACAATGTTATTACAGCAAATGGCCAATAATACCCTCTTGTATTGAATCTCTCTCTCTTTCTCTCTCTCTCTCTCTCTCTCTCTCTCTCTCTCTCTCTCTCTCTCTTTGTAAGGACTTTGACTTAGGGGCCATCTTAACACTGATTCTATTCTAAATTATTTCTTTGGGTTGACGAGCAATACATATTGGGCAGAGTTAAACATACATCAAAAACGAGACATGGTAATAAGCCTGACAAAGATGCTAAACATTGGCAGAACACATTAGGGCTGGCTGACATTTACTAGTTTTCCTAATCTCCCTCATTGAGCATCCTCTCATCTATTTAGTCACGATTTACAGGGTACCTCCTTCTGTATAGAAACCTAGAAACCAAATGAGATATGGAATTCTTATCATTGCTATTGGACCATACATTAACCTTTTTTGAGTGCTTACCATTTGCCAGGTTCTTTGTAAGGACTGTTTTACCTAAGCCAGGCTCAGTGGTGCACACCCATAATCCCAGTGAATCCACAGACTCGGACGGGAAGATCTGCAAGTTCAAGGCCAGTCTCAGCAAATTTGGTGAGAATCTCTGCAACTTAGCAATACTCTATCTCAAAATAAAAAATAAAAAGGGCTGGAGATGTAGCTCAGTGGTAAAGTGCCCCTGGGTTCAGTTTCCAGGACATGTTAAAGAAAACTGTTTTATCCAAACTTCACAAGGATCCCACAAGGTGATATATATGTTAAAAGCATCTCACCCAGGCCACACAATCAAGCAAAGAACACAGCAGAATTCAGACCCTAATAGTATGACTACCACTGATATGCTTCCATCAGTAAAATACAAAAATACCCTAAGAGAATTCATTATTTTCTTATCTCTCTCTCCCTCCCATTTTTATAGACAATTTCATCATCAGCTGTTATGACCCACGAATGAATCAGTCMTACTTAACACTTCTCTCTGCACACAGGGGCTCACCAGTGTTGGCACTTGGACCCTGGGCCCCACAATCTTACCAGCAGACCATTAGTATGTCCCTGCAATTTATCAGAACCCAGAGCCAGTAAATGCCTCTCACTGACAACAGAGGTTGTGAAAGGGGGACAAGTGTTTCCAAGGCCAGGGATACCAAGCTTCTCCTCCCTAAGGTATAATTTTA